CCGGCTGGCTGTAACGAAATGGTAGCCTGCGCGGAGGCCCTTCGCGGTCTCCCATTGAGCGGTATTTCTTGTTGATCGAAATGCACTGTATGTCTGCGCCGAGGTAACGCAATCGGCGATAGTGGCGGCGACTGGTTCACAATTGCCGCCACTGTATGGCGACAGGGGTGTCCGGTCACAATCACATTCGCTGTATCTGCCGCTGGAGGATGAATAGGGGGGCTCTGTGTGGCAAAGGACCGTGTTCTGCAAGAATGTTCCCCAGGGTGCGGCTCGTAGGCCCAGTCAAACAAATAAGCGTTCTGGCCACCCCCTCCAGCCATTTCCTTGTTATCGCCAGCACGCAGGTGGTTAGTCTGGTCAGTCAACGAGGAGGTTTCAGTTTGCGGATTGCTGCCAGGTATGTTGGGGGCAGAATTGTACATGTGACAGTGGGCACCCATCACACACGGGGCACTCTGCATGCGAGGACTCACCACGACATCGTGCTTTCGCCAATGCTCATTGCGGGTGTTCGACCAGACATCCTCCAGAGACCTGCACGGCTTCTGTGAGTCAGTTGATGCCATGGTTATGTACTGTCCAAAATGGGGAAAGGTTGTGAGGATGGACTGAAGTGGGGCATTAACGCGTTTGGGGTCCCTATAGTGCTCTGGAAATGGCTTATGTCCGACGACCTCGCAGTGCGTGTATAGCTGACTCTTCTCGAAACCATTTTGAAGGGGCACAGCAGCTGCGTTGTTAGCAGTGTCCTTTTTTACCGTCCCAGATGTGTTCCTACGCATGGGCATAACGAAGATGTCACGGACAGCACGGTAATGGCCACAGTTGTTCAGATGTTCGTTCTCCAGACGGAAAAAGTTCCAAATTATTCGCCTTGATGGGGAAAGAGAAGAGGATGAAGAGACAACAAGGGACTCTGGCAAGGAAGTCGGAATAGAGGACTGGTATGTACACGGTATCCAAATTACTTGCGGTCACTCAGGAGAGAACGGTGGCTAGAAAGATAGTCTTCTTCTTCCTGAGAAGCAGTGGGATATTGAAACTAACAACAAAACTCCATTAAATGATCTTCAGATTGCCTTAACCAAAATGCCTCACGAACTGCCCCAACAGCAAGGGGCCCGTATTATTCTCTACCAACCATACTTTATACGGAGAAGGTAAGGATATGTTTCCATGGCAGTTTTCTTCAATGTGCATTTACTATTTCACCTGCTGCGGTGCATCGGGTTATATTGTTCACACGAATCGAGGACACCTCCGCATATGGGTAGGGGAAGGCGAAAGTTGCGTCCTTGATCTCGAACATCGTGTGGAACCAGCGAATCCCCTCGCGTTATTTATAGGGTCTCCCAGAATCACTGTGAGCTACTGGGCCGGCATAAAGGTGACTGCCATCAGATTACATCTACTGGTCTTGTGTGCAAAGAGGAAGACCTCCTACAAGCTTGGCGTTTGCGGTGGCCAAATGGGGCCCACCTGCAAGCAATCGTTCGACCCTTCTGGCGTCCTCCCCTCGCTCCTCCCGACACAACTCTCAATCACCCTCAATAACTAACTTGTACCCAACTTATCTAATCATTGGCAAGTCTTATTCGCTCCCTTCCCTTCTCATATAAACGTACTGACCTGAAGAGAATTTATGGGAAGCAGACGTACGATAACCAACGAGTCTTCCAAAATGTCAATTGGACTAACGTCCTTGGTGTGGATGGGGGTGAGGAGAGGGCACACTTGTTGACTCAACGTCTAATTATAATTAAATCATGGCTAAAGTAGGTGATAGTACAGTAGTCGCCGGCTATTAAGCCCACCTCGGGCCCAGACCAAAT